TAATTGCAATAAAATGAAAAATCGAGATGAAAAACAATTTGTTCATTTAGGAAACAGTTTTGTAAAACATATATAAAACATTTATTAAACACAATGAAAAATGGAAAAGTAATTACGAAGATAATATTATTATAATATATACGTTGTTTAAACTTCTATGGAGCAGTTGGAGGCTAAGCGGTTATCCGTCCGTTGCTTCGTTCATTGTACAGTAGGTTTGATGGTTTTTATACCTATTTACTTTTTGGTTAATATAAGTCATCGATTCTAACATTTGCTTCATTTGATTTTCTGATATTTTGGTGAAATATTGGGGTTGGGAAACATGACCGAGAATTTGTTAGCATTTGTTTTACTTTTTGAATTTCTGCATCCGCCTTTAGTGATACTGATATTTGATCTCAGAAGGATTATGTGCATCTTTGGCATTAGCAATGAATTGATCTTCATTCTAGTGGATAGTCGACTTACGGGTGTGTTTTTGATAATTTCATATTCATATGTAGGCTTACACACGTTTATTTCTTGCTCTCCTCTTCGGCCATCTGGTTTGTGCCAAAATTATTGGATGACTCAATTCATGTCTACATTCCTCAAACAATTGAAATAATAGTTTCCTCTTATCGGCTTCTCAACATTTGTTGCCAGCAGCTAAAATATGAAGCAGTGCAAGCGTTTGGGTTATTGAATTTTTACGTTTCGGAAAATTGCACCTGTTCCGCATAGAACTCTTATTAGTGAAGTAAAAAGGTTTCTCTACCATTTTATTAAGCCTAATATTTCACGTAAAAGTCTAGGATTCGGAACAGGAGTATAGTTGCACATTTCGAACGATAGAGAATGGTTATTACTATTTTAAATTTAAGTAGAATAATTTCTGTGAAAGTTTTATGCCTTGCGAGTTGAATTCGGCAACGGTGACACGATACCTGAGGTAAACACCCGTCTTTAAGGTTTTGTTGAGGTAGGTGACTGCACAATTGAAACATTGGTCCATCAAGTGTACTTTAGTAAGACTTGCAAGTATGTGCAAATTCGTAATAAGAATATTGCAAACCGATCGGTTGAGGAAAATTAGCCTAACTCAGTCTCTACTTATTCGGTTTCAGTAGATATTTAAAAGCAGATGCCTCTGATAAGAGACAAGATCGTTGATTATGGCCTATTTAGAAATAGGCAAACCTGAGGACACATATTTTTGCTCTGCCAAAGGTTGGAGTGAGGAATTGGATTTCACTTTCAAACAATTTAGAAAATTCTGGATTTTGTGAATACTGCAAGAGTACGAATGTAGAAATGAAAATCAGACACCTCAAATAGGAACGGAAAGTGAGTGGTGAAGTAAGCGAAAATATTTGGCGAAACCGTTGTTAGTTAACGACACTATAATATCTATGAAGATCTTCAGCACCTCAAATTTTCACCAATGCTTTTTATAGATAAGGCCGTATTGATTGAAATGTATCAACTCTACATATAATTATCTTAAAGATCCCTCATAAAGTTGTAGTAGCATTGGGGTTTGGATTTGGAAAATTATTCGAAAAATTAACTGAAATATTTGTTTAAAGTGGTAAACATCAGCTGAATAACCTTCTGCGAATATATTTTCATATATTATTATGTCTGCTCAAACTATTAGGTTGAACAATAATTATGTCGCCGTTATGCAAATTTTTCATTGATCTTTAACTGAACTGGGAAATTCGAAATTTTCCTGTAATTAAGTTCTTAGGTAAAATGGCATGCAGACGTCAACTTGAGTTGCAGTAGAATTGATGACTTGAGAATCAATATCTTAAAAATAGCAATTGTTGCTTAAAAATTATACCACAATTGTACGTTTGTTTTCATTGAAATGGGTATCTGTTTTGATGGACTAATTACCAAGCAGAAGAAAATAGAATATGGCACGTGACTCAGTGTTTTTTTCTTTAAATGTGTTCATCTCAGTGTGTCAGCCTAGAAACATTGCATTGATCGCCTATTTCCAATAGCCCGCTTTAGTATCGTTAAACTCAAATTGATCTGATTTAAGATTAAGGTTGTAGACACTGGATTTTGGTACTATAAGACTCGGTGGTGCTGACAAATATCAATATTACTGCTTTTCAATCGAATTAAAAAACAGACTCACAACCTAGATGCTACGGCTTAATGACTGTAGTTGATTGGTTATCGAAATCACCAATGCTATCACAAGATTGAAAAAAAAAATTTGATGACAGCTATAATAGCACACACCAATGCATAAGCAGGCCAAAAATTTTAAACATCCGTCAGAGAGCAAAATAACTGCAAAATTAACTCTAACTCATTTTAAGTGTCAAGTTAAAGTGATTCTTGCAACTCAATAAGAAACGCAGAAATCATTTTATGAAAGATTTATGTAGAAATTCTTTGAATTGTCATTCATAGTTGCCAAAATATTATAATTTTTAGTGCCTGATCGTCTTCACATCTTCAGCTGATTAACATTTGCCCATTCAATTCGAAATCAACACTGACCTTATATCATATTCTAAATCTGAATGTTGGACAAAATGTTCGATTAATTCAAAACAAAACCTCAGTAATATTTCAGATCCTAACACAACAAGAAGCTGCTTCGGCAGCAAATAGAATTAAAGCTCACTAATTCGTGACAAATGAGATGAGTTGGGTTTAGTAGCCGAAAAGAAACCTGATTATTCTCAATGTGTTGTTAACCGACTAACTCTCGCGAAATCCTAATAACAACTTTCAAAATCGGATGCAATAGCACTCGAATATTTAAATATGGAGAGTTGAAATGAGCGTATTGTATTGAATATGACCACATGAGAAGAATTGGTCTAAGGAGAATAGACCAGGATATCATTGGAGTCAGTGTGCACAAATGAATTAATTGGCGCCGGTAGATTATCCTACCAGAATTACCAGAGACACAATTGGAGTAATGACTGTGAGTCTTTAAAATAAAATAGATGAGAGGGTTAGTAAATTGGTCCAATGGTGAGGAAGTAATTCACTGTTAGGATGTAAGCTCTAAGCGTCACACTGTTGTTGGTTATGTATCAGTCGGTGATTTGGATGATACTTTCCACGGTCGTTGCAACAGTGCTTTGAGGTGAGGGAGTTTAAATTTCAAAAATCATTAAACCACTCAACTAATCTCATTAATAAAGCCATTTAACTTGACGCATTCTCAAATCAATAATCACACCCATGTAGGCATCATTTGCAAGCTGAATTTATTGAAGTGCCTTGTGCCATTTATCCTCATTTCCGGATTTTCCCATTCATTCCCAATTACAGTCTCTTCCACTTGTTCCAAATATATTAGCCAACTTGAACACCTCTCCCAAGCCCTACTTGCGATTCTATCCTACACCTCCAACTCGGCCAGCCCATTGTATTTACAAAAGTTCTACATCGATCGGCATGGTTTAATTTTATCTAACTTATTAGAGCGAAGACCATTAATAACTATATTGATCATCAGGAACAATACAATTAGTTACTCTCATACAATTTGTCAAATTCTAGTTCTATTTTTATTTGAATTGACAAGAAGAAGATTATTTTAATTTTCATATTCAGTCTTCGAGAATTGCTCTTCCCATAAGCGAAAGCAAATGGAATTTTTCCATAGATGAGCAAAAGGTCCATCGATTTTTATAACAGTCTTTAGTGAATTTATGATCGAGTGCATAATACATTCTTCCATTAGATACAAAAGCGTTCAATTAAGTTTTGAGATGGTCAATTGGTGCCAAGGCATGGAAACGCCAAGGCATTAATTATAGCCTATCTATGCATGTTTTTTCCCATTATTATGCCATTAACATAGCACACACAAATGCTTGAACAAGCCAAAAACTAAAAAACGCTACTGCTTTCAAGTTTCAGTAAGGAGGATGACTAGTTTAAGAGTCAGAAATGTCACATTTTAAGTTGTGGTGAAAGGGAACTTGCGCCACACAGGGGACTGCGTTCTCCGACACTCGTCTTTACATTTAATAGATGCAAATTGTATATTAGTACATAGTCAAGTTTAAATTTTCGACTAACTTCGCTCATATTAGAAGAGGAGTAAACACTGAACAATAAAACTTCACATCGTCTTCTGTCCACTAAAAATGCGCTCTTAACTGAATTTCTTCAGGTACTTCAATGATATGCTCAGTGGGTAAGGAGTAATACTGTGGCTGAAGACTCCATTCCCTGGAATGAGTTAGCATGTTTGAACTCCATAAATCTTTCGCTTCATCGACAAACTCAATTTAATGAATTTGGTGAATTGTTCACAGGAATTCAGAAACTTTGGATCTTAAACAATGAATGCGAAGTTAAGATAGCTGTACTTAAACTCGTGAGTTATTTTGACTGAATGATATTAAAATGTCATGAACTTCAATTGAGCAACTTTGTGAATTCTTAACCCCGAATGATCAGAGACCACTTTCGCAAATACTTAATGTTTAATGGTACAATATTGCGCTCCGAATGCTCAAACAAATAGAGCATTGCTTTTCTGCTTAATAGGAATGAAAATGATTTAATTATGGCGGAGAATAAAATGACCTATTAAATGAGTCTTTCATATCAATATTAGAAGTGCAATTTCAATGTCAAATGGGTTCAACGCTATAGCTCTGCTCTTATTGCAACCTAAAGAATGTGCTATTCAAGGTCATTTGTTTATTTTAAATTTATTTTAAATTTAATATTTTTAAAAGAATTCATACTTGAAGAGTAATTATGAACATATTATAATTATAATAAATATCTTATTGATTGAATGTTTTTACCCCAAAACATTACTACTGGGTCTCATCCATTTTTGTTTTAATTCAAATCCCGAAAATAAACCATTACCACAGTCATGAATTAGTTTGTTGAGGTACGATGTTACTCATTGAAACAGCGATAAATGATAAGAAAATATATTCGAATGGAGTTAAAAGTGCGCAATAGTTCTCAACTTTTCTTCAATTCAATGTTTGTTGAGATGGTTGTTACTCTCGAAGGGCAACGGCTTCGGCCATAAAGTAAGTGCAGAAGGCTCCAGGTATCTTGAATGCTAACACTACAAGCAATCCAGTGGCGACAAGTGCGCTATAAGCGAAGATTATCAAAACGACGAGTAACTCAATGCCAATAAAAACTACGAAAAAAACAAGTATACTGGAAAAGAATAAGTGGAATAGTTTTAATCTTACGATATAGTAAATAATACTGTTGTTGATGAAGAAAGCGATGCAACCAAATATGGTGAACAAGAGGTTAATCGCTCCGAAGGAATACACACATGCATTATCGGCCAAATTAATACCTACAGATTTTATAACCGATAATCCAAATGTTGAAATCAAAATTCCGACGATCTAGGATAATAAAGGGTAAATATCAATTAGCACTCACCATAATATAGAGGTTACTGCTTAAGAAAGCAATTTTCATCCATGTGTGTGATTCTAATTTTGGTAAAACAGGCATGTTCGTCAGGTTAATGAGCTTAGCTGCTAATATTCCAAATTCATTGCATGCATCATGACAATATGCTTTCACACCAATCAGCTGAAGAGCAATATCAATTTAGTCAGGTTTCTAACCTAATAATGAGAAAAATGTACTGTGTGCTTCTCGATGTTCATACATTGACCTATGGAAAATAACTACAATTTGGTTCAAGAATCCTCATTAGATCGCACCATCATTTGAGTCACACGTTGACCAGTTAATACGATGATTAGCACCTGCGTGATACATTGTATACCTATGATATGAATTTGATTGTGGGTCAATAAGCTTAATCGATTACAATTCGATTTATATATACGAAGATGGTATAGATATAGAAAGGAAGCTGCACACATTCCAACTTGTCTTCAGAGATATTGTTAAGTGAGTAATGACGAGTGTTTGTAGTTTTAGAACTTCTTACTACTTTGAGCAACATCTAAATCGCATGAAATACGTTCGCGAAAATTTGACAAATCCATTTCTTGTAATGGCAGTTTTTTCACCCTCAAAATCGATGCTACACAGATATGAAAGTGCTCAACGCCGACAGATTGTAAGGAACGCTAATTCGTCTTCCCGATATCTTAGTTATCTAAAAAGGTGGCAAATTCGTTTGCTTACAGGATCAATCGAGGCTCACTCTGCCCAATTCGATTGCCCCAGTTACAACTTTAATGTGGACAAACTCACAATATCAAGGGGAGATACAGGCTTGCGATAAGAGGTCACCTTACATTTCACAGCTCGAAACAATCCATTTGTATCAAGTCAATTGCAAACAATGGGTTTAAATGAGATATTGTTTAAATAAGAGAGAAAATAAAGTTGTACAATTAGGAATAATTGTTGTGAAGTACATTATTTTCTCTCAGTTAGCAACTTGAGTTAAAAAGATATCTCCAGATTACTTAACGTGGTTAGATCTACTCCCACTCATTGACAGCTATTTTGTTCACGAGGTCACTGTCTTTACGCTCTATTTATTTTCGGAGTATAGAAAAGTGAATGCAATTTAGATTAAATTTTTGTGGGGGATAATTGATTCATATTCATGGTATTAGATTGCGTGTGAATGTTAGCAACTCTATCACGGCTGCACAGACAAATTTCATAGGCATCCAGACAGACTCGAAAGTGCTGCCATTCTACTTGTCTTGTTGGAAGTAAGTGAGATCTCGAGTGCAGGAACCTCTCAGCTAGTCACAAATCGATAATCCATGCTTTGTTCAGCAAGCTCTATAACATTCAAAGCATTCCAAAAAACGTGTTTCCTGTAGCATGTCGGTTTTCTCTTTAGCTTTGTCGGTTAGGTGCTGAATTGGTGACTTTTGCTAATTGAGTGATAATTGTGTATAATTGACTTGAATTCAATTTATTCGTCGTTTCGTTTTGATCGTCACGAAAATAACTTCTTACACAATCTATTCGAGTGTATTGAGAGATTCTCTCGATGTAATCTAGTTTTTCCACATATTCATTTCCACTCTAAGCACTATGTCCCATCGTAAAGGAAAGGAATGTAAGGAAGATGTATATGGCACTGAACACGCAGCCAATATCGCATACTATCTACTGCTTCAAACTTCCTAGGACCGACATAGGCGCGCACCGCATGTGTGCAACTGAGCTTGTGTGAATAGATGTGTTCTTGGTTTTACGTGTATTTCTTCTACCTCTGGTTGTAACATAGCTAATTTCGGGAGATATACTCAATAAGAGGTTTCTCAATTAGTCAAGGCTTTACAAGAATAGCAATCCGCTAGTGTTGATGGCCGTCTGAAGTGGTGATATTCTTCAATCCTAAAAAGGTTTACCAGTACTGCCATTCGCTTTCATTAAAATGTTCAATTTTATCAAAGAATAAACACTTCTATTTAGATGAAATATTATGCGTCCTTATGAGCTTTAGAGCATCATAGTTTGAGTTTTCTGTTTTGCCATAATGTAGGTTTACGTTAGGCTTTAATGACAAAATATATTAATATTTAAATTATATATTACATATACATTAACATTGTTAACAAGTGACGTCTTTTCCCTATTCCTACAGAACGTTTTAAGGTTCCAATGAACAACGCCGCCAAGACTCGCAATAACCTTGATGAAGACGGTGGAATACCGCACCCCAATACTCGGTATTTCAGATTCATTTGTATTAGGATTGGAACAAATCACTAGGAAAGACCTTAAAATTAACCCTAGAACATGCCAGGTCAATAGAATCAACTCCGAATCTCCTCTTCGAACAGTATTTTGAGGCAGTTTTGATACATTTTACAATTGACTAGCCATCAATCGCAAATAATTAGTTGAAACTGACAGCGTCGATTACAGAGTATCATTAATATGAGTGGAATATTAATCTTTTATATTATCATTTAATTCATGCATTACTTTAGTTAATATAGGTTTCTTCATCTTTGTAAGTTTTAGCGGAATGCTGCACGATAAAGCCTTGTCTAATGCTTAGTATTCTCTAGCCAGAATTCTTAGTGTAGAATAGTTCCCAAGAGTAGCTAAGCTTTTACAAGGTCTTCCATAAAACAGGCAAATGCCGTGGAATACGTTTATACTGATGGCGTAATGTTGGGGGTGTAAATCGATTGTGTAATGAATAACACGGAGCTTAGTCATTCTATCCACCTTCAAGAACGTGAGCAACGTAATGGCTTTAGTTATTGAACGGTTGAGAGGTCATTGCGTCCGCAAAATTCCAGAATGGTTGGAAGTACAAGTGCTTCTTTGATTCAACCATTCTAATATTGTGCTCTACACAAACTTGGCATACAGAGTTTGGAGCTATATGCATCAAATTTTCAAGCAGGATCAAATCTTGATTCTGTTAGGTTCTGAAGCAGTTGTACATCTTTCAAGTCAAGCAGATAGTGATTATCAGAATGTAAACGGTAACTTACGTGGATATAAATGCTTCAAATTAAAACACTAAGACTGCATCCTTATACTTAATTCAAAACTGCAGTGCTCGTGCATGGAACACATATATTTCGACATAACAAGTGTGTGCATTTTAATAATTTACACCGAATTTAGCGAAATCTTGAATTTTACCTTTGTCGCAAAATATATATAGTTGGCCTAAAGACTAACTAACCTATTTTACCATTAATATTTTCAAAAAATTAAAATCTACATTGAAATATACACTAGATCAGAAACTTCAACAAACGAATCAAAATTGGCTTATAGATTTTGTGGGCGAAGATGGAGTTTTAATTCAATTTTGAAAATTAGCAAAATGTCTTCCAAATAGAAAAAGGTGGCAATACGATATTTTTCATATAAAACACATTAATAAATGGAGTTAAGTAAATTGCGATCTGATATCTCTACGAAGGTATAATACGTATATTCAAACATATAAATAGCGATAAAATGAATAATCAAGATGAAAACAATTTGTTCATTTAAGAAAACGTTTTGTAAAACATATATTAAACACAATGCAGAATGGAAAAGTAATTACGAAGATAATATTATTATAATATATACGTTGTTTAAACTTCTATGTAGCAGGTGAAGGCTAAGCGGTTATCCGTCCGTTGCCTCGTTCATTGTACAGTAGGTTTGATGGTTTTTATACCTATTTACTTTTTGGTTAATATAAGTCATCGATCCTAACATTTGCTTTATTTGATTTTCTGATATTTTGGAGTAATATTGTGGTTGGCAACATGAACGACCGAGAACTTGTTAACATTGTTTCCATTTTTGAATTTCTACATCCACCTTTAGTGATACTGATATTTGATCTCAGAAGGAGTATGTTCATCTTTGGCATTAGCAATGAATTGATCTTCATTCTAGTGGGTAGTCGACTTACGGGTGTGTTTTTGATAATTTCATGTTCATATGCAGGCTTGCAAGGGTTTATTTCTTGCTCTCCGCCTCGGTCATCTGGTTTGTGCCAAAATTATTGGATGGCCCAATTCATGTCTGCATTCCTCAAACAATTGAAATAATCGTTTCCTCTTATCGGCCTCGCAACATCTGTTGCCAGCAGCTAAAAATGAAGTGGTGGATGCGGTTGGATTAATGAATTCTTACGTTTCGGAAAAGCAATAATCTCAGTATACTTTACTGACTTAAGTAATGGTATTTCATGTTGTAGAAAATATTTTTTTCATTAAATGTGCAATATGCTATCAGTTTTTGTTAATATATATTCCAAATGATATTGAAAAATGTTGTTCTGTACTTCAAATATAATCATTCTTTTTTTGGAATCTGAGGTTTCTTACTTTAATAATTGGTGATTTCTTCGTTTTCGAATCATTCGGGAGGGTTCGACCTTGCGTACAGAGGGCTTTTCAGCAATTAAGGTTCATTCAAGTCATGTTAAATGCATTCATATACCAATTTTGTTTTCCAGGTGACTATCTACATTTTATTATTTTGCTATAGAGATTACTGAGCATAAGTGACGGCAGCAATTCGCTACAGAAACAATTTGAGCCATTCTTCAGTTTCATCCCATTTAAAAGTCATTAGTTCAGCTGGGCCTTGTTTCTTATCATACTTAGGAAATGTCAGTTTAATGATTGATATTGGATTGTAGATCTTTTTTTGCTGTACGCCATAGCCATTAACTTAAGCTTTAGTGTTTAAATGCCTTTAGTGCCACTCTCTTTGCCTCATTAGTGTGAATCCGTTGTGGTATTAGTGGAAATTGACCATTATACCGGTTACTTGCTGTTGAATTGACATAGTTGATGTAGTGACTCATCCATTTGCCTTGATTGAACTAGTGTGCCAAGTTGTATTCCGATAGCGTAGTGCTTTACGTGGCCGTATGTGATCACATGTTCGATGTCAGCGGTGCTAGAAAGATGAGTGGGTGTGAGCCTAGATTTCATAATAGGCCAGACAGATTTGTTAACCCTGTGTAATGAAATGTAAACGAATCTGTTACGAATTACATGCGTGAAGTTATTATAATTACTTGATCATTTGATTTTGCAACAAATGAAGAGGAATTGCTTACTAATGAGGCTAGTTAAAGTGCCACACAATATTCACTAATACCTCCAACTTTTCTCGTCTGCAATTTATGCGCTTCGAGGGGTAGCAATTTGGAATACTTGGTTTGCATCACTTTTGCTTACCAGATTAAATTTGACCGTTTGTTTGAACCTAAAGAAACACTATGATCTCTTTCTACTGAGATCAACTGTCGAGTAATATCGGAAATAGTACCAGTTCTGCATAGAACTGTTATTAGTGAAGTAAAAAGTTTCTCTACCTTTTTATTAAGCCTAATATAACATGTGAAAGTCTAGGACTTGGAACAGGAGTATAGTTTCATATTTCGGACGATACAAAATGGTTTTTACTATTTTAAATTTAAGTAGAATAATTTATGTGAAAGTTTTATGCCTTGCGAGTTGAATCCGGCAACGATGACACGATACCTGAGATAAACAATTAAATAATGATTGCAGTTGGTAGCTTAGTACACGTGTGCATGAGCCAAACTTCAGTTGCTTTTCATCGATCGTTATTTGATGGCAAATAAATAAACTTGGTACTGCTCTTATGCTGGATGATGTGAAAGTATGTGGTCACAACGCATGCGATGACTTTCGAATGTTGTATAAATTAGTTCTTCTAGTTCAACAGGAGCTCATTATTTCAATGGCCTTGGTAGTTGGACTGACAACAAAACCAACTCTATGCAAGAAAATAACTTTCCTCTTCATTAATATCATTGTTCTGGTAAGTACATTTTGATTATTTTGCATATTCGCCTGTAGTTGACGGGATTACTTTGGCTTTCATACGGGTCCTACATGCTACATAGGGTAGAAAGTCGCAATGTGGCCTTTGGAACAGTGGTGGCTATTGGAATACTCTACGTCATTGTCACCATTGGTGGTTTCTTGGCTTTTTTTAAGAATAAAAAAATCCTTTTTTATATCGTAAGATTCCATTTTCCTTTTAATTTCTGTTTCAGTATTCTATTTTACTCCTTGCTTTAGTCCTTTGGCAAGTGATATTTGGATTATTCTCCCTAGAATCAACTTTACTTGTCTTCATTGTTCTCCTTCCTCTGACTGTAATCAAGATACTCGGTGTCGTATTCGGTTTCCAATTGGCCAACGAGATCGTCTCTTTACCGCCTCATCTTACTTATGCTCAACTGCCATCTGAAAGCGCGTCTGCTTGTGATTCACATAAATAGTGAATTGCAGATATGATGTCAAAGATGGGGCACTTTTCAATTTCAACTATACTTACTGATTCTCTAATTATACTTTGTGGATTACAACTAAAGCATAATCATCTTTTTATTCTTCTACCTCGAAAAGGTGAAACAATTTTCAATCAGGGGGAAGGTCTAAACAAGGTCGAGAGGGTTTGGGACAGTAGGTATTTAAGCCATTTGTGAATTGGCACTCGAATTCTAAACTAAAGCTCCCTATTATAAGCTTTGAATTGCGAATTCGTCACACCACTGCGTCATAAGTCGATATTTCATTAGGATCATTTGTATTAGTGAACTTCATTTTAGTTCATTGGAACACCTTAAGTGGTAATTGTTATTTCAATGGAAGTTGGGTGCAATTCCTAGAACCGATAGTACGACAAAGCTACTTATAGCATTTGGCGGAAGCCGCGGACACATCTTTCTCAGACTCATGTTTCCAACGGTTAAATCAACGGGTCCACTTAAATCCAAGTTGATGTCTACATGACATTTTCCATGAGAGCGTTATTGTTCGAGGATTTCGGAGTGTCCCATTCAGTTGAAGTTCATTTGTAAAGTCAGCGGATGAAATATGTGGCTGTTAGTTTCCAAGAACAAAGGTCTTCACTTTTCCGGGCTTCATGATTTTTTGTGGCTCGAATTGGTCGGTCTATGGGATAATTCATCTATTCAGAATTGATCAGGTTTTTACATTTTTGGCGGCGCCTTTTAGCTACTATATCTAGGTAGATATATACACATACACACACACACACATATATATATATATATATTTGTGCTTAGCTAATCATAATTAATCGAAGTCAAAAACGAATAGTGCACTTAAACTACTAGCAAACTGGTGTGACAATA